CTGCTGAGGCAGTCAGACACCAAAACACCAGGGAGATATTATAATAATTACCAAATCAACAGTACAGAGCTGGGCTTTGTAGGCAAGGTTGCTGTTTTGTTTAAGAGGAATGTGGCAAGGTGAAGATGGGAAGTGCATAAAACTGTGTAAGGGATGCTGTGCCCTTGCTACACTGCTCCAAGCAGGGTGCCCTGAGGTTACAGCCCAAGAGCAAGCAGGGATGGGCTTTCAGAAAAACCTCCTCAGACCGTTTCCCTACCTCACTCCTGCCATGACATCACTGTACACTTAGATTAATCCTGTCACTTGCCTGCTGAAGGCACACTTGACTACTGTGAGCGGGTAAAGGAGGAAAACTGACTGGAATTGCTGCCCAATGAAGAGCATTGCTGTTTTTCTTCAGGATACCTTCTTTTCTGCTCTTCTCTCTCTCTCCCCACAACTGAGATGAACGAGGGAACTTGACTGAGTGAAGGGATCTGAGTTTGCAGCTGCTTTGCTGGAGCAGCCCAGAGCAGCAGCAGGCCTGTGGTTTGTGACCAGAGGTTGGGCTGTGCAAGAGGAAGGGGCCACTCCTCCCTTCTCTGCCTACCAAGACCTCCCTTTGCATGCCTGAACTTGCTGGAGCGGAGTCTGTATAGAAGGGCACAGAGGTATTCACAGGAGTCTGTCACTGACTTAAGTACAAAGCATTTCTTCACATATTCCAGTGTAGCACAGGACTCCATGGAAAAGCTTTGAGAGAATCTCATTCCTCATTGATGCAATTACCTGGGATTAAAAAAAAAAAACGACCAAGAGGGACAAGAGGGATTGTCTAGTCTTTTAAAGGCTCAGCTTTTAAAAATGTCTTAATTTTTCAACAGATTATCTGTCTTGCTTGGAAACCTCTGTAAAATACTGCATTGCCCTCAAGGGATAAATCATGCAAGTTTGAGTGAATGTGCAATTCACAGAAAATGAGGTACCTGATCTGCAGAATTACCTGAGGACTGCTAAGTATGATTCTTGCCTGGCCCCAGGGGATGGCCACCAGGAGAAAAGTGAAGCTCCACACGTTGTGTTTTGCTCAGCCAGCTCAGCCCCAGTTACCAGGAGTGCCCTTACCTCAGCACCACATGCTGTGCACCTCCTCCCAGAGCTTCCCCAAGTCCCTGTTTCAGCCCACACCCAGGTGGAGTGGGAGGAAGGTGTCAGTGCCCAGGCAGAGTGGGAGTGCGTGGTCCTAGGCAAAGTCAGTGATGCCATTAATTTATGAGTAGAGATAGCAGCTGCTGTTGCAAAGATAAATAGGGAACTTAAAGGGGGAAAAAAAAAAAAAAAAAAAAAGGCAAGGCTGCTTTGACCCTCTTGGTTTTGGAGCTCCACTGACAATTTGCCTTAGAACTTTTTGCAGGGCTGTCTGTTAAGAAAATGTGCAGATCCGCTGTCTTACCTGCTGATGAGTGACTTCAGGCCCACCTTTCCCTTCATGTGTGCTGCTTTGTGCATTGTGTGCAAAGCAAGGCAACACAAGGTGAGAGCAAATAAAGGTGAAGTGGCTGAGAAGGGCAGAGAAATGGGGAACGCAGGGGAAAGAGAATGGCATTGGAGTTTCTGTTCACCAGGATGTATCTGAAGGTTTCCAACAGTTTGGTGCTGCTTCTCTAGAGCTTTGCTAGGTCTCTGACTGCCTTTTACTGTCAAATGTCTCTGCAGGATGTCAAATGTTTTCTGTCCCAGAGGCAACCTTCTCTCCCGTACTGTGTGGCTGTGTGTGCCACAAACACACCAAGCTCTCTGTGGCTGGGGAAATTCTGAGCCAAGGCTTGGGCAAAGAGTGAAGGAAACAGGGACACGGGAGATTGTAGAACTCTCCTGCTTGCTGACTCTCAGAGCAAACAAGAAACCATTATTTTCCTCTACACTCACCTCTCTGTTCTAATGAGCCCTGCTGTGTGGGGCATCTGCAGCACAGGCACAGTTTGGATGAAATGTTTTTCTGCACAGGGAACAGAAAATCATCCCTTTCATCGGTTCAGTGTTGGCACATGCCATGGGTTTGCAGTGACAGAGAGATAGATGTGTCTGCACAGCAAGGGAGTGGGTGGCCTTTGGAGGGGTGAGAAGAGGAGGGATTTTTTTTTTTTCTAGAAAATTTGTTAAAAATTATTTCCACGGTGAATACCTTCCCCATAGGCTGGTTACAGAGAGCCTTCAGCACAGAAACGGGACAGAACTCAATTTTCATTTTTGCTTTGCAGTTCACCTTTAAAATGAAAGGGGACTTTTGTGAGGCTGAATGACTCTCCATGGACTTTGGTTCCTTCAGGCTTACAGCATTCAGGTTGCAGTTTCAAGGGTTGTAGAGCCTTTTAAGGGTAGACATGACATCAGCAGGAGTTTCCAGCCCCTGCACATGTACTACCGAGAAGGTTTTTGTTCTCCTTTTGGTTGCAAAGGAGACTCTTAGGGGCAAGGTATGAAGAACCTCATGCAACTCATGATGCGATGTCACCCTGACATTTACTGTACGCCTACTCTTCCCCTATAGCTGCAAAAGAAAATGGAAAATGGTCTTTTTCAGGCTCCACAATCCCAAAGTTTGACTGTCTGTTTGACTGGCTGCTCTTTTGTTGGCTGCTCTCCAACAATAGTACGAGCTGAGCTGATGTGGTCGAGGGGAAAAAACACACATTCACACAAATGCACACAGACATGCAGGAGAAGGGACTTTAAGAATCACAGCCTGAAGTAGGTTGCTTTTAAGGTGAACAGAAGGAAATGCTTTTTCACACACCGTGTAATAAAACTTAAGTCTTTACCACACGACATTGTGAAAGCCAAGAATATATATATGCATTCTTGAAGAGGCAAGAACTTTTCCTGAAGGAGTAGCAGTTGAACTGCGGATGTCAAGAAATCCCTAAATTTCAGGCTGCCAGGGGTTGGCAAGGCATGGCAGTTCTTATCCCATGTGGTGTGGAAGAACTAGTTTTTCTACCTTTTTGCTGCCAATTCCTGGCTGACAGAGGTCAGAGTGGGCTTGGTTGCTCAGAATCTGCAACGCATTATAAGGGGAAGTACAGGTAGTGTGTGTGTGTGGGGAATTTGAATCTTTCCCATTGGAAGATCAATGAAGCAGCTGAGTGGAGGGAAACCAGTTAAATAAGAAGTTGCTAATTTAATTGTATTCTATTTTATTCAATTAGATATTAATTAATATTAAAACATTCTATAGTGTTGCCAGGACCTCCCCAGCATTTTTCAGTGTGTTTTCTCCAGACTTCATGCAAAGTGTGCAAAGTGGGATGGGGGTAGATGTGCTGCAGGAGGGAGGCTTCTTTCATAGAATCTTAGAGACTATAAGGTGTGAGCCAGCACCAGCTGGACTTTGCTGAGGGGGGTGGCAGTTCTTAGGCTCACCTTTGTCAAGTTTTCAGTTCATGCATCAGGCAGAGGCTTTGCAGGCAGGCTCTCACCTCCGCCAGTGGTGATGCTGCACTGTCCCCATCAGTGACACACTTCCTGCTTCCTCTCTCCGACATGTTTACTGAGATGTGTTCTGCAGGGAAGGAGGAAGGAATCCGAACCTTTTCTGTCCTGAAGACAGCTATTTGCTTGTTTTCCTGCTCTCATTGGTGCAGTGGAATAGATTAGTATCCCACTTCCACCACTGGACGTGAGCGCTAAGGTAACGAGGCTGAGGCAAGTAGGGAAAACGTAAAGTGACCTGACCTTCTGGACTAACACAGGAGGATGCACATCATCCCCAGGATTGCACAAACTCAGGTGAAAGCTCAGCCATCTGCCTTGTTGCAGCACAGGACTGTGCATTAATGCTGGGCCACCTTTCAGCAGCAGCAGGAGGTCTTTGGTAGGCTGCTCCCTCCCAGGTCCTGGTCCCTGTGAGCATTTACCCACTGGAAAGGGGAAGGGATGGGAAAGCAAGGCTGCTCATGGGAGTGAAGAGCATAATAGTCATAGTGCTCAGTAGGGGAATTACTGCTAATGTGGTCAAAGTTCACAGAACTTCACAGAATATTCTGAGTTGGAAGGGACCCACAAGTGTCTGAAGCGAATGGCCCATACAGGGATCAAATCCACAGCCTTGGTGTTATTAGCACCGTGCTCTAACCAACTGGGCTAATCTCAGGGTCAGCTGTACCTTATTCCACCCTTGCAAGGGTCTCAGCTTGTTGTTGTAGGCACATGCCTGCACTCCAGGTATGGCAGTGGCACGGTCGCTGGGCAGGAGTTGGGGAAGGTCTGTGCTGGTTTCCAAGTTACCCCAAGGGAGACCCATGGGCCCTCAAAAAAATAGACTTGTTTAGCTAGACTGGGCAAAATTGTTAATTTGCTAATACAAGGAGTCTGATGACAGCATGGCTGTAAACTCTGTTTGTCATTGTAGGGTTGCTTCTAGTTTCTGGGATCTTGAAAATTTGGGGTTTTCTTCTTTCAAAAAAACCAAAAAAACCCAAAACAAAAACAAGACAAACCACAAATGAACAAACAAACAAAAAACCCAAACAAAAACCAAACAAGAACTTCCAATAAAACCCTAATCCCCCAAAGCTAATAGTCCATAGTGGCCCTGTCAGGCATGCAGAGAACAGAGGTTTTTCGGACACTGAGCTCTGAGAAGGGAGAGCAGAGGAGACAGAAGTTTGTGCATCTATGTTTCTATCCCTTTACATGAATAGTGGCAATTCGTGACACTGAGGTGTGGGTTTTTTTTAAAGGGGACAGAAAAATTCCCGTTCAGGCAGGTCACACTCCTCCTGCCTTTGCCTTTAGCAGTCCATGCAGCAGTCCGTGTGTGCCCACCAGCTCAGGATCCTAAGCAGGACTGGAGCATGATGTAAAAGGCAATGCCAAGGCAGGCCTGCCCTCAGTGCAGAGCTGGAGCTGTAAAGAGTGGGTGCAGACAGAGCCGAAAGAGGTGAGCTCTGGGTGGGAGGTCCTGGCACAAGGCCATACCGCTGTCTCACTGATTTTTGTTTGGCCCTCACCTACAGGCCAAGCGCGGGAGAAAAGAGTAGTCAAAAGCAAGGTGGGGGAAAAGGTCAGCCTGCCTTGTTGCCGTGAAATTCCCCGCTCAGAAAGCCTACAGAATTACCGGGCCTACTGGCAGAAGAACGTGACGGACGTGGTGCTGGCCTATTCCGATGGGGAGAGGATCAGGATTCACGAGCGGTACAGGAACCGCACAGAGATGGACCCCTGGGACCTCATCCTGTGGATCTCCCCCGTGGAGATCCTGGACAATGGCACTTACCAGTGTGTAGTTCAGCACAACTCAGTTGTTGCGTGTGATGAGCGTGTCACCCTCCTTGTTACAGGTAGGTGGATTGTCTCCTGACACCTGAGGCCCTCCAGTGCCAACTGCTGGGGATAAAGGACACTCCTCCAAGCTTTACCGTAGTGGAGCAGATAGACTTCCATCAGGAAGCCTAAAAGTGTGATGGAAGATGTGTCAAGTATTTCCATTCTAGAAGCCTCCCTATTTACCTTTCCAGAGGTACCCCAGGTACAGAGAATTTGCCTTTACCACCACCAGCCCAACCTCCTCCCCTTGATGCCTCCCTGTTGTGAAAGGACCCCTTCCAGGACCCCTCCCCAGGTACCACTGCTAGTGGGTCGCCTAGGCAGCCCCTGATGTCTTTTGGGCAAAGTCAGACCAAGCCCTTGGTGCATGCCAAGCATCCAAGGTAAAAGAGGAAGGGGATGGCCACAGCAGCATTCCAGCCTGGGAAGTCCAGACTCCCTGGGGGCTGACCAGCTCACTTGGCTGCACTGCAGATTAAGGTTGAACTCAGGTGGAGATTTGAGGCTTTTTACCTTAAAGAAACCAAGTTTCTTTGCTCAAAATGAATCTGAATCTTCTCTTAGAGGCCACAAAAAGTTTCCACTGACATTATTTTCCATTTCCACCACTGTTTTTGTAGCAGTTGGTCTCAACTGGAGACAGAGATACTGGTGACATATATAAATATATACATACATTTGAATACCTTTAACAGCAGAGAACTGCAGGAATGTCCCAGACAAGTCAGTGAAGGAGCATTCCCCATCTGGAAGGAGATTCATCAACAAAATTAAAAAACAAACCAGCTCCCGAGGCTTGGCCATTGCCTGCTTGTCTGAGAGCATGGTGGGCATATGTGCAAGGAGACAAAATTAGTGATCTTTCTGGGAACTGATATGAAAAAAGGGAAGTGCACTGCCAGCACCTTCTCTAACCATGAGGGCTGAGGACTTATCTGCATGAAAAATGTGAAACTACGGATCTCTTTTCCTGCCCACAAATACTCCAGTTTCTTTCCTTCCAGAAATCCCCTTGCTGTCTTAACAGACCAGCTGTAATAATTGTGGTAGACTTCTGCTCCCTTTGGTAAAGTGGGATTGGTTATTTTGGGGATCAGGAAAGGGAAACTTTCCCTCATCCCTGCTGGAAGCAGGCTGGGATGTCTGATCACCCTGGCTGTGATCTGACAGAATGGTAACTGAATCTCTTTTGCTTCAGCCGACTTCAGTGAGCCGAACATAACAACAAAGGTGTCCACGAGTTCTTGCGAATCGACTGAGATGGTGATAGTATGCTCTTCTCACGGAGGTTTCCCCAAACCCAAAATCTCTGGAGCCCTCAACAATGTGCCTGTGGAGTGGAATGCCAGCTGGGTGTCCGAGTTCAGCCTGTACAACGTCACTGGCACGCTGGTGCTCAACATGACCAGCGACGTCAACGTAACCTGCTCCGTTGAATACGACAGCTTGGCCAAGTCCAGCAGTTTGCTTCTGAGTATGTCTTATTAACAGTTTTTGTTACAAAACCATTTTGTGTAACCGTTCATGCAAGGATGACACAACGATCCCACCTGTGATCTGTGCACCAAAATATGTCAAAGGTTGTAAGACAGCAGGGGTGGGAAGGGAGGGTTACAACAGTGACTGACAAGCAGTGATGGCTTTGTCTTCCTGCTGCTCTGCTGTCACAGCTGGGCTGAGGGGGCAGTTGGTTCCTGGTGTAATCTGGTCATACCAGACTCAGTTGCTCCCGCAGGTCGGGGTTGCCATCATCCAGTGCTCCTCTGCACCAGCACAGTCCTACTGCCAGTTGCATGACACAGACCTGGTGTTTGAATGGTATGTGTGCTTTAAAAGCCACAAGTTGCGCTTAAAAAGAATTTCCTCACTTAACAAACGTGTTTGTCCCCGCTTCAGTGAAAGAAACTGTTCAGCTGGGGTCTAGATAAAATTCTGCTTTCATGTATCATATAGGGTTAACTCATACGAAAAGAATTCTATCGCTGAGCCTGGCTTAGAAGTGATGGCATAATAGATAAGTCTGTGCTTTGAAAAGCTTGAGGCACAAATGGAAACAGCATGAGGGAAGGCAGCATACAACGGTCCAGAGGTTTTGCAGTAGAAGGGGATTTGCCAGAAAGTTCTTAAAGCCAAAAGGATTTTTTTTTTTTTTTAATGTTGCTACTGAAAAAAGTATTCTGAAATGTCTGTGGGTCTGATGTTTTTACTGTAGAGATAAGGGCACCTTCAAGGTAAGATAGAGAAGTGCTATTTTTCTTAGGGAATTGTACCTTATTCATCAAGGTAGCTTATTCCTCTACCTTACTAAAATCAAAGGGGCTTGTGGGGAAGGTGCCATTCAGCTTCAGAACGAATGCCAGGAAACTAGTGCTTTATGAATACTGGTTATTGCTGGATGTAGTGCACAATGTCCCTAGAGATGCTAATGGAAGAAGGTTATGAATATCATGCTACATAGAAAAGGAGAGCAATGGAAAAAAAAGCAATAATAGTAATACACTGTTGTCACACAGATTCTCAGAGGAGGGTGCAATCAACAGTGACACAGTCACAGCAGTCACAAACCCCCCGTGTTTTGATTTTTAAGATATGGAACCACTCCTGTTTTGGTATGATGTAAATAAATGGTCCTTTAGACAAGTCTTTCATGAACACAGAGTTCCAGACAGAATACAGCCTCTGGTAAACACAGGAGGCAAACTCTACAGTGGGGGGTAAAGATTGTACAGCAAATCAGGCCAGTGTCTTAGAAGTGGAATGATGCTCAACTCTGCCAGATACAGATGATGAAAAACTGAAGATCTGTGCACACAGCTCCGGAGACCCATAGACGTGCAGGAAACCTGTCCCTCCCGTTGAATTAGGGCTGTCCTGTAGTGTGCAGGAATGGCCTGGTGTCTGCTCTTATATCCCAGTGGTAGAATGGTCATCTCCAGTGATGAAAAGTCAAAGGCTCTGGATCCACTGAAATTGAACTCTGCCACAACACTGTTTTCCTGCCACACAGAAAAAACAAGTCTATTCTAGCCTGTTTAATGCATCATTCTTCTTCACCTCTAAATACAAAGGGAAAAGAATTAGGCATAAATCTGATGAAAACAGTATGGAAAACTGCAGGGCAGCTTTGAAAATGGGAATTTTCTAGCTGTGTATTCTGACTTTTTCACCAAGCCCTAAATACTTTCTTTAAAACAGCTTATGTGGTTTTAAATATTGGCTGTCTCAGTTCTGTTCTGGACAAAACCCCAGCATTTCACACTCTCTGGATATGTTAAAAATTTCAGCACAGAGCAAATGCGGCAAAGTGGAAGAAATTAAGGTGCCAGCTTCTCTTGATAGTTTATTGAATAGGTCCATTTTCAGGCTGAATACCTGAGTTAGAACTTAGCCAGAACCACCCAAATTCACGTAGCTGCTCTTACATGAAAATGACCAGTTGTTGTGTCCTATATTTTTTATTTCTCCTGTTTCAGAGAAAACAAATGACTGTGTTGTTCCTCCTGTGCCTCCATCTTATAATGTCATTACTGCTTCAAGTATCGTTCTTATCATCTTCATTTTGGCAATCATCCTAGCAACAAGATACCTCCCAAGGCGTGGTAAGCGTAGCTCCTTTTTCAAGAAACTGCCTCTTACTGCTTATGTTTCTATTAAATGCACATTTATAGAAACTATACTGCCCCATTAGGTATTTCTGTACCTTCTTCTTATTTCCTCTTTTTTCCTTTCAGCATCCACTGTCACAAGTCTAAGTCTAGCTCCTGACTTTGCTACATTTTGTGTGCAGGCATCATTAGGGTTCAGGCTTGAGAGTGAAAGGGTGATGGGGAGTTTTGCCACCAGATCAGAATATTTCCAAAATCAAGGGTATACAAAAATGAAGACATTCACAAAGGTTCGTTTTTGTGTATTAAGATATGACCTAAGATGCCTTAAGATGCCAAGAATTTTGGTGATCATGATTGATATGGCTGAGCACTGAGAGTTTCAAAATTGGATCTCTCTCCACACCCTACTTAGACAATCCCTCAGATAGTCACTGAGCCAAAGTAACAAAAATAGATAGTGTTAGGGCCACAGAAAACACTTAAGCATAGCAGTGCCCCACTTTTAGGAGAGTTGGATTTGTATTCTTTGTATGGCCAAAAATGGCACAGGTGAGGTGCCTGGTCCCACCCTATGAAGTCTTCAGTAACTCCAGACATGTCTCCAGGAGCTTTCCAATGTCAAAGCGGATCTCAAACATCTCAGCGTTTAGCTGACAGTTAAGTAGATTTTTTTTTTTCCCTCAAAAAATCTCATCTGTTAGCTGTTGCTCCTAATCATGTCTAAGCTGACCTCACCAGAAAACCCCCGAAGATGTGGGTAGACATCTAATGGATTTATAGAGGCTGCTAGGACTGAAAGTCAACAGCAGTAGATGTCTTATCCACACCCTGTTAGCAGCTTTGCAAAGCAGTCACAGAGTATGACAGCAGGCCTTGCAACACGTTATAAATCAAGTTCTGTCAGGCCACTGGGGAAGCCACGTGTGGGGACAAGAATCCCACTCTGACAGGGCTCTGTGCTCAGGCCACTTAAACCAGGAGCCCCCAGTCTGAGCACCTCAGCCCATCACGGTCACTGCGGTATCCCCCTTTGGGAAAGGCTGTTTGCTGGACAGCAAGGACTCACTTTGCTTACAGACACTTATAAGTTTGTCATGCTTGTGTCTTCTGGTACCCCTGCTCAGACAAGTTCACTCCCAAGTCAGAGGTGTGGAGGTTGCATTACTATTTTTCTTTTCCCCTCCTTGTTGACAACATCCCTTCAAAAACCAGCGTGACCACTGAGTCAGGCTGGGCTGATTTCCTTTTAGTGCTTCATCACAAAGAAAGGAAGCTTCTGGAAGGCAGTGACTCTTCACCTGTGCACCTCCTCATTTTCCACTTCTTTGTCCCTATGACACCAGTGCTGGCTGTCCCCTGCTGTTCCCTGGGGCTGTGTCAATGGGAAAGCAACGAGCAGGCTGAAGCCTAGAAAATCACATTTGATCACAGCCTGTGCTGTTAGCTGCATGTATAATGCACTTCTAATTACAGGAGAAAATGAACTGGAATTGGAAGATTTGGCTCTAAACAAATATTGGCTGGAAATTAAAAGGTTCCTCACCATTAAATTAGCAAGATTCCGGAGCATTCTGAGATAGTCTTTTCTATAAGAACCAAATTGCTTTTCAAGCAGATGTAAAAAGCATGCCCCTGTGGTAGAATGCAATCACCTGCAACAGCATGGCACATGGCTGCACAAACTGGAATTTCCCTTTCGGTCCCATTTTCATAATATGCACAGGGAGTGGATTTGCCAAGTCAGGTGGTGCTATTTGGTACAGCCACTTTCCAGCCCAAGTGTACAGTGTAAGTAACTGAAGCCAGGGTTTCCATCCAACTTCCCAGTTTGTATAGTTGTCCCATTTCAGTGCTGCTGGGCATTGCCACCTGTCTGGGAAAGGAAATACCTGTCCTAAGAGTGCTTTCTGCTGGTGCTGCTGCAGGTAACCTTTCAAGAGCTCTTGCAGGAGCTCAGAGTAGATCTGGGAGTACCTCTGTTGCTCTGGCCGATGGAAAGCTGAGTCAGGAGTTGCCTTGATGCTAAGAGTGGTTTCTGAGCTCAGAAGGCCATACTTCAAAGAGCTGAAGTGTGGGAGGGAAGAATAGAAAGACAGAGCGAAACGGAAGTAAGAGTTCTCAGATGCGTGATTGTTGTGGTGACCAAAACAGGCAGATGCTTTGTTGAGGTTCACAACCACCCACTCTGAGGACTTCACAGCCTGTCTTTACAGTAATTAAGGAATGAAAACACAAAGCACCAAGATTAGAGGTCACTTAAAGAATGGTTTGTGATTCATGTTGCATGATTCGTACAAGTACAATTGGCTGTAGTAGTAGAGATTCAACCTGAACAGTTAAAACAAAAGCCATTCACAGATGCTGAGATACGTAGTGGACTTGTTTATTCTGAGCTCCTTTTAAAGCACTGAAAGAATTTGTTGGTTTTAACACTGGCATTCTTTCACTTGATAGAAAAACTGCATTTAGTGTTGCATCGCTTTTGCCTTTATATCCCTTCTGACCTTACCTTAGCATGTAGCAACCTGTCTTTGTGCGAGGCTGAGGTTCTACACCCGTGCTAATGAGAACTATTTTATCCATTTGATACTATATTGACAATATTTATGTACAACAGAGCTTTCTATCAAATCAGACTATTGGCTATGGGCCAAGCATATTAGGATGTACTGCAGGGGTGAGTCCTGCCAAGTTAAAATAGAAGCAACTAGACCTAAATTTCTTCTCTCCTTTCTTCCCACTCTCAGTTACACTTTGTTGAAGAAAACATTTGGAATCATCACTTTTATGTCTTCTCTGACTCCAAATACTAATGAGAGATTTTATTTTTCAGTTTGTCCTCACTGTTGTAAGCCCCAGGATCTGGTGGAAGAGGATATGAAGGAAGGTACGAAGCCACCTGTGAGCTCTAAAGTGACATCTGAAACATCATCTGTATGACCAGATTGCATTTGCAGGTAGTTTTTTCTTCACCACTCTTCCCTTGGCAAAATAGCTTCTCAAATACCATTAGATTCTCATGCCATGTTAGCTCACAACACCACGTGTGCCTTTTAATATGTGTCAGCTGCCCTTTAGGGTAAGTAACAGCAATAGGGCCCTACTCCCAACCTGGACTCATTGTGTTTCCTGATCAGGTAACCAGAGGAATGATGCTCACATTCCCTGTGGGGCATTGCTCTGTTCGGATTATTTCAAATTTCTAGAACTTAATCTAGTGAAAAATGTTAAAGGACTGCATTTGTTGGGCTGCTAAGCTGCTTTTTCCATAGAATGGGCCCTGTGTGGATGGTGTGGAAGTTTCTTTGGTATTCATTTCATTAATGAACATAAAATTTCAAGGACTAAATAGGGGTGAAGAGAGATAGAGAGATGAAAGAAAAAGAACACTTGAGAGCTTCGACTGTCAGTGTCTGCTCTGGACCTGTGCAAGGAAGCTGATTAATGTCTGAGAAGTGGGCTTGCAGCACAGTCCTCCAACTATCAGGATCTGCAGGGACATCCTCTGCCACTGTCCTGCTCATTCTGTGGACTTCCCAACTAAGAACTGGGCAGTCTCTGAGTCCTTGTCCTTTTGGACTCATTTGTAAGTAGCTCATCACTACTACAGGTCCCACATGTGGCTTCACCCCCTGGAAGTTACTTCTGGCTGATTCCCTGTGAGCCTGACCTGATACATAAACACGACAATATCCCTGATAAGGATTGACTAAATGGTGGTGAGGGAGGGGTGAACAAGAGAACAACTCCAGCTTTCCCAGTAAGGTGGCTTTCCCAGATATGCCAGTCCACTTCTGAGATATCTCCATTCCCTTCAGCAGCTGGAGGAATGGAAAAGTTTCCTCCCTAAGACTTGCCTAGGAAACACTCATACATTAAAAGGAGTTACTTTCAATAATGAGGTGTTGCAAAAGGCGGCCTGGGGAAGAATCTGGCTTGCCAACATTTTATGATTACAAAGCATGATATTGGCTTTGGCTTGAAAGCTCAGCTATGTTCAGGGCTGTATCCTGCAAAAAGACATTTTTAAGTGAAGTGACTGAAGGAGAGATTAGCAGTTAACTGTTCTTATTCGCATCATTATCCAGGTGACTGCATGTCCTGCTCTCACCGCAGCAGCACGTGGAATTGCCTCAGTAATGCCTCAGAGCAACAGCTGTGGAGTCCTACAAGGCATGAATTGTCACGCTGTGTGCTGCAGTGATCTAAAAGCTCTATAGTTTTGAGATGGAAAGGAGGGGAAACTCTCATTCAGGCCACTCATCTCATTTCCAAACCTGAACAGCCACTCATGTTTTCCTCTGGGGAAGGCCCAGTCTGGGACAGATACTAGAGCCTTGGTTAGCATGAATTTTGGGGAGTTTTGTGATGGCAGTGGCAGGAGTTCACCTACTGAATAAACCACTTTCCTATTTTTTGTTACAAAAGTTTGCCAGGGTTTCCCGTAGGTGGTGATTCCCAGCTCCAGTGCCTGGGACAGCTGCTGTCTGTGGACAGGGATGGAAGCTGTGCTTCCTTAGTGGCCGACTGCCATCTCGGAACTGCACAGTGCACTGAGCCACATCCTGCTGCTGTTCGAATGGGGAGCGCATTCACTAGCCATCCTCGCTCCGCAAAGGGATAGCATCCCTGTACACTCCAAAGGTGTTGCAGCAAGCACCGAGCCAGACTGTGGCTCACAGTCCCGCTGCTCGGAGCAGCTCCGATTTTATGGAACAGGAGCCCTCTTGTGGAGGACCATCGCAGGTGTATACCCGTTTGTCGGCTCTGCGACACTGTGTGGCTGACATTTGGGATTAAGAAGGGGCGGAAAAAAGTCAGTAAATATTTTTTCTTTGACCCCCTCAGGTTTCTTATCCTGCGCATTCCGCACTGCAAGACTCCCCTGTTCGTTGTACAGCAATGCTTATGGCGTTGACCCTCTGGCTCTCTGCAAGGGGATGGCAGCAGTAGAAAACTCTGCTCAAGACGACTGACAGCATCATCTCATGGGAATGAAGACAAACAGCAGCTGTGGGGTGGTCTCGTTACAACGGGGTCACTGGAATCCCCGCCTGGGAGGACCCTCTGTGTCATCACCTTCAAGGCTTTGGGAACCTGTGGCTTCGACACTGCTTCTGTGGGAACCAGGGGCCTGCAGAGGCCTGGCAGGCAGCCCATGCCCACTCACCCCTTTAGCAGCACAGAGCTGCCCTTTGGAACCCCCCAGACCCAGACACACAAGCTCAAGTCAGGCTGTGCCTCCACGTTGCAACTGGGAGAAGCTAAAACTTCTTTTATGTTCAGCCTCACGAGAGTGTCTGTTCTTCATGCTGGAGGACTTTGGATTTGGACCTGACCATGGCAGATGTATGTCCCCTCCCCCCTAAAGAGGCAATAATGCACATTTTTCATGAAAAAAAAAATTCACCTTGGAAGTGAGTCTATCTGCCTCATGCTTATTTGCAGACTTTTTAGGGAACGATACACACTGACAGCACAGCTAACAGCCAACTAATATTCCTTATCCACAGCAGTGGCACAAGTTCTCATAGCCTTTCTCTCCTGACAGGCTGACCTTGCCAACACAGCCACTCCATTAAATTGCTGTGTGAGGGCCCACCTTTGTGCATACAAATGTACAAGCTTTTATGTGCATTCCTTCCTACCCAACCTGTAAAGCCCCACTGAAATTTGTGTTAAAGTCAGTGGTTATCATCTCCCATATCTACTGTAATGAAACGTAACTCAGGGCCTTGCTTCATAAACATAGGTCTGCTTGTGCTTGTACATCTGCCCAGGGATACTTGTTAGGGTAGGCTCTGCAGATTCTTGGGAGTCTCTCACAGCAACCTTAAGGACTTACTTTGCACTGAATGTTGCTGCTTTCTGCAAGTGTTCTCTCTACCCAGGCAGGACTTGAAGGATTTTCCCTACAGGATGCTAATACTGGATAGGGCTCATCTGATCTGGGTGATATTCTTGCCTACTGTGTAGGAAAATGTGGTTTCTCATTTTGAGGGGAAAGGAGGAAAAAGCCCCAATAAGCTTTCTAAGCAACTCTGCATACTAACCTAACTCAACCCTGCCCTGAGTTTTACAGGAATGTTTTTCCCTTTTGCTCTGCAAGCTGTACCCATTCCCTTAGTGCTCTAACCATGTTATCAGGGCAGACCAAAGTCTGAAAGCACCATGCCATCCTCCATGTGGGATGTGTTGTTGCCTGAGCTGTTTACTTTCCTAGGACACAGCAAGGACATGTTCCATCCATTTCACTTTTTTTCTAGAAGGTACCTATTGTGAGAGAAACTGCTGGAGAAAATAGGAAGATTAAAAGTGGTTTATGGAGTATTGAGCTATGGGATCAAGTCATTAGTAAAAAATAAGACACTGCTCCCCTTCTACTCCTGCAGAGTTGTTTTATCCCATCTTTTTTTTTTTTTTACCACTTTCTCATTGTACAAAGTTAAATGGGAACTTCAGAACATTCTTACAGAGGAGTTTCTGACAGAGAAAAGGAGGTAAGCTGGGTGATAGGGAAGCAATACTCTGCTCTTGTGTGTTTTCGTTGCAAACAGAACATAAGTGACAGAAATCAGTGTTTCCAAAAGGCAGCCTGACCCTACTGCAGGACTTGGTGTATGGGCAATGGTGTCTCACACTTTTCAGTTTTCCTCTTCTTTCAGCCTGTTCTTGTTCCTTCCAGCACAAACTACCAACTTCTTGCAGGCCGACCACCTCTTTTGGCATTCACTTCCACCTCTGCATTTCCAGCACCATCCTTCCCTAGAACCACCATGCAATTCCACCTTACCAGCCACACCACAGCTCTGACAGTTGTACCAGCACATTTTCCCTGACTATCCCCTTTTCCACTTCTGCTCCTGACTGATGACTGTGCAGCCTCCTGGAGAAAGGCTTGTCTTTTGCACTGTGCTAAACCTTTCTACATCACCACAGGCTCCAGTGACACTTTTGATAACTCCTTCTAAAGGAAACCAAGTTTCACTGACAAATATGTCCACCACCAGGTTATTTTTACAGTCTTGATGGGCAGGATGTTTATTTTGGTTTATTTTTCCTTAAGCACTAATAGTCTGAGTCATGTTTTCTTATGCTGTATTCAGTGAATTGCACACAAATGGTTTCTGTGAGACCTTCTCAGCTTAATATCTGGGTCATTGTAGCAGGTGAGCTGCTCTGTTTATCATGGGGGTTTTATATAACATTTTTTTCCCTGGGGTTCCTCCTTTAATTGTATTAAAAAATTAATTGTAAACTCAGTTTCCTTTCCTCAGTAATAAAAGATGTCTATCCATGTGCTGGGAAGTGGTAGAACCTTTCAGTTCTTCGTGTGAGCCTCTGCCACTATCTCACAGCTGCTAAAAACACACACCGTGTAGCATCAAGGCGGGTGATGCAGGGGCTGACAAAGCTGTACCAGGTACAGCTGGCACCAAGCCACAGCTCTGTTTGGTGTGCTGGCAGCAATGACAAAATGGCACTCAGGTACCCAGCTCGTGACTTCCACATACCTCATGTCTGCCAGTTTGCCAGGGATTAACTGAGCAGGGCAGCTGCCGGTTGTCCTTCTCCCTCCAAACAGGAGGTTCTCTGCAAGAGTAAAATGCAGTGGTCAGAGGTTCTCACTGCATCCCTGCTACTTGTGGTACCTCCTGTGAAAGTGGAGGGATGATCACTTCAGTGCTGTGCTTTTCATGGGGGTGGAGGGAGTGGGGGGTGTGAATAATCCCTTACATGTTTATTTTAAAAATAAACTCTGAACCAATTCCTCACTCCCCATTCAGACAGTGACTTTGAGGGTAAGAAATAAAGAAGTGCAAGGAACTAAATTCTGCAGGAAACTGAGAAACAAATGGCTGCTAATCCTGAGTGCAGCTGGAAGTCTCTGCTTCCCATTGCTACTGTGCAGCATAAGCACATGTAGTAGCCCTCCCTTCCTCCCTTGGAGAAAATCCACACAACTGCTACACCTTGGCTCTGCCTGCCCTCCCACAGGAGAACATCCCTACATCAATGGTCAGGCACAGGCAAATTAGTTTTCTTTAGACATCACATCAAATACCACCACACAGGAACAGAGACAGCAATGACACAGCTAATGTCACCAGAGCTGCTGTACAGACAAGAGTGAGGGATATTGGGTGGGGGATGTAATAGCAAAAAAAACCAAAACAAACAAACAAACAAACAAACAAAACAAAAAAAAAAAAAAAAAAAAGAAGAAAAAAGCACACAAAAAAAACCACAAAAAAAAAGATAAGAGAGAAAGATAAGACATCACTGTGTAAGCACAATGGCAAAAAGGTGATTCAGGAAGGCCTGCTGTTTTCTTTTTTTGAGGGGGCAAAGGGCAACAACACTTAGCAGAGGCTAAAACAGGAAGAACGAGAGACATAGCCGTACCTCTGCTTATTCAGATCCTTCACTTACACATAGAAAAGATCAGAGCTCGTTGATGACAACCCTGAAACACAGGTATTTCTCCAACGGAAAAATGAACAACACTGGGATGTTTAAAAAATTAAATGCTCACTTCAGAAGTCAGAAAACACAAAACCTTCTTGAAAGCAAACGGTGCCAAAAATCTGCTTTGGGTGGGTGGAATACGCTCTCTGGGATCGACTGTTCACATTTCAATCAACAGTAATTATCTGTAAAAGCACTCAACCAGAACAGACTTGACTACATTTTTCCTGTGGGAAGTAGACCTGAATCCCCTGCCTGGATGTAATTCCCTTTAGTAGCAGAATAATCTCCAACAAAGAAAAGGAACCAGAATCCTGGCCTTCCACTTTGAGGGAACAGTGATGGGCCACCTGGTCCTCCTGAGTACAGACCACTTTGCATTAACTACAGCCTTACCCACAGATAACAACTATGACTTAGCAGGTGATCTCTGGATCAAAATAATAGATAGACCTGGCACTCTCCTGGCTCTTGCCTTTATTGCTGGATAGAGGGAACATCTGATACTGCCACCAGACTTTGCTGCTCACTGGTGGGACCTTAGCTAGAGCTCTTCTCATGGGATGTCATTCAAGGATGCTTCTCTAATGCAAATACTGTACTAACATGAAGTACAGACTGTACTGACATAAAGAGCTTATGGACACAATCACCACTGCTATATGGTTTTATTGAGTGTCTTGAACCACATTTCCCCAAAAGGTCATCCCCCAATTTCCAACTTTCAAATGAAATTAGAGACCTTTTCACTGTTAAAACTGTCCACAGTGCCAAGTCTTCCACCATCACCACCAGAAATAAGTCATCTTTTCTGTGGCCCGCTCAGACTTATATTGAGGAACCCAAAACCTGCCTTTTTCAGGGGCATTTCCATATCATTCCCAGCTCCACCACCCTTCCTCAACATTGAATGAAAAATGCCGCAAGTACTGTAGGAACCAAGGCCTGAAGAAACCACTGTCAGTAAGATGTTCAGGTGCTGTCTGAAGACAGCTTTCACTAGAGCACAGTTAACTTTTGGAACTGGGGTACCTTCAGCACACAAACCATTCACAGGCTCCTTTACCTTGAATATTTCCACATTGCTGGTGGTTTGGACACTTTCAGCAGCGAAATGGGTCCTCAGATGAGGCTCTGGAGCTGCTCTGTCTCCCTGCCAAACCCAGATGACAATTTCCAGTGTGCGAAGTTGCATTTCCACTTTCTTAGGTGCAACGGGTTCAGCCCTTCTGAGCTCCCGTTGCAATGATGTGCATCCATGAACAATGTTCTCAGCAAAAGGCTTTTCCACAGGATATGAAAGTGTTCACAGAAGAGTTCCACCATCCCTTGCCTGAAGACTTTTATGAGCAGAATCAAAATGCTTTGTATCTGTAAGACCCCAGTCCTGAAGCCACCAGCTTAACTGGGAATATTACTTTTAAAAAAATATACAAGAGTCCAAAAAGTTTGCCTAACTGAATTTGTTTCAGAGTCTTCACTTCTTCATACCTTCAGACAGCCTAAAGAGAGTACGCAGCACGTGCTTGCTCAGGAGATACTTTAAATATGGCAGGAAATAAAGATCTTGGCAAAAGTTTAAAAGGGTTTAAATATTTGCCAATTTCCCTTATTTTCTCTCCTGAACTATCAGTAAAACCACCTCTTGAGGAAAAGTGTGTGGCTTCTTCTCTTTACACTGTCTCAAGGTATTAAAGAACCAAAGGCTGTGCGAAAGTTCACTGGGCAAAACTTTTGGAGTTTTGTGTATTTTTTAGAAGTAATACTCCCGGTTAAGGTTGTGGCTTCGAGACTGGGGTGTTACAATAGCTTCTTACAACAGAGATCTGGGGAAGACTCAGTAGCTCCTAAAGTCTCTTGCTCAGTCCATCTTCAGCCCTCCCTGGGCATTGTTTTCAGTTTGGCCTAAGACTTCAGTCACACTGAGCCTGGATTGCCTAAGGAGAGAAGAGAGAGTGCAAAGCAATTTTAAGCCTGTATCCTCCTGACAAAGGCACGACTGCAGACTTCCAGCTCTTGAAAAGTTTATTCTAGAACTGGCACTGTTAGTGAGTAAGTCACACAACAAGTGTCATGGTCTTTTTTCCTCCAAAGCCTCCAGCTATCCTTCTTTCCTCTCTTTAACAGGGATGGAAAGAAGGCAGCAATGAAGGAAAAGCCAGAGTTCTGGCCTCTTTCACTTTTAGTAAAGAAATATTAATGTGCTTGTCCCGCTTGTCTTCCCAGACACTGCAAAAGTGAAAAACTGATGCAATTACTGGCCAGGGCAGGGCACGAATTTTGAACAGAACACCTCATTACAAAACAAGCAGCACCATCTAGGGCTGGGAAGACTAAACCAGAAGTTCTCAGACTGGTATGTGAAACACAAGGACAACCAAAAGCAGGAGAACCGAGGAGTCTTGTGGAGTCTTTAAATGTTTGAACCACACAGACCTAGAGCTGTTCCTTACCACTCTGCCAGCTTCTGCTCATACAGCTCCCTGCGCTCACGATTCCTCTTCTCCTGCAAGGTCTCACCAGCCAAGCTGTTCAATGCTATTAACAGGCCTCCTGCAGGGATCCTACAGAAGGAGGCAGAGAAGTCATGAGTCACCCAGGGGACACACAAGAGCAATAACTCACTGGCATCAACAAAAGGCGCATAGGGGAGCCAGACATCACATCAGGGAAGCATCACGTTCCCCAAGACTCACATTACACCACAGACTAAGCTACTCCTATTCTAGTGTGACCCACCAAGCACAGCCTCTCTTCAGCTGTGACTCACCAGAGCCCCTGTGATAACATATTTTGAATTTACTCACTGACAGGGGCAAAGGGGTGGAAGGGCTTCAGGTGCCCAAACAACTTCTGTAGAGCACCTCACCCATAACTCAGACAGTGACACACCTCCATCCAGCTCTGGAGGTACGTGTGTTTTCACTGGTAAAGCTGCCTAGGCTGCTTCCAGGCATGGCTACAGCTGACACCATCCTGACAGTGCCAAGCAGCACACACAAACCTCATCCTTGTGTTCAGGTGGGTCCCCAGATTCCCTTCTGGGCATATTTACAAATCAGAACTTTGAGAAGAAATCCCAGCTCTGCTTAAAAAGTCAGACTTCTCCCGAGTTAAAGGTCATTGTCCTGATGGACAGAACCTCTGAGAGAGAACTATGGATTTCCTCCATGCCCCAGGGAGCTTTAGGAGATTTGTGACTGCAAGATGCACATGAAGAAGTGCTGCCTTACAACCTTGGGTTGTGCAGCCCAGCCACGCAGCTTCTCCCTCAGCATTTCCCAATGGTTCCTGCTCCATATTTTGGCATTGATGAAGCACATTTTGTAAAAAAATTATTTTTACAGAGACTCCCTGGCAGTCCCCAGGGTGCCCCCTTCTTCAAAAGGTGTCATCATTACATCTGACTCCCCTTGTCTGGATTCAGAGCTGCTACAGGAGCAGTTGCTGTTGAAGCTGAGAAGGGAGCCCAGAAGCTACATCTTGCACTCCTGCCTTTACCAACAGACTACAGAGTTCCTTAAAACAGATTCCAATGGTTCTGCACACAGGCATTGGGCTCATGAGTGACCATGCCAAGGAAGGGGGGTAGAGACATGTCTGTAACCCATTCACACAACTATTGTTAACTATTCGACAACAGCTAGTGTCTCCTCTAATAAGCAAATAACAGCAAGACACTCAGCTAAGAGCACTGAGTTCTTACTACTGAGAAAGCAGCAAAACTCAAATGAGAAACAAAGAAGAAAAAAAACCAAGAGTTTAAAGGTTGGAAGAAAAGTGACCATCATGAGGTCCCAAGGGAGATACAGAAAATCCCTCAAGGCAAGG